TGCGTCGCTGTTTTCTGTTTTAAAAATAACTTAAAAAAAGATTGTGAATAACACAGGGTGGTGTACAAGTTTTAAAAATAAAAAGTTAAACCGAACTAGAGATATGTTTCGCAAATAACATATCGCCATTTCTTCGCTACTGTCGACTGCTGAGTATTTATTGTGTTCTACATGCAGTCGAATGTTTAAGTTTAACGGTATAGAAGGGTAAGGGTACTAAATTACAGGCACATGGGAGTTGTCAACTTATGTCTCAAGGTGACGGGCGCAGTGGCAGTGCCAATAAGATCTTTGCGATTTAAAGCTCTAAATTTCACTGCAACTGTTCACGCGACTTGTTCTACCCGCCACTTGGTATTATGGAAAAAGCTGGATGAACTGTTTGCTACATCAAATGGTTTAATTTAAAAAATATATGATATACCTAAGGATATTGTCGAAAGTTTGTGCCAATATGTTACCCGATAGGATGTACTTCACTGATCACATAAAATTCTGAAAACAGGCTAGAATAATAGTCTGTGACTAATTATTTATAAACATAATTTTTATATGGATATATTTATCTTTAAGTACCTACTACAGAGAACCGGTTAAATTTAACTGTAATACTTGAAGAGAAATATCGTCAGTAAAAATTGTGTACAAAATTAAATGCTTTATTACTAAATAATTCGTCTTAGACTATTAATTTAGCCTGTTTTCAGAATTTTATGTTCTCGGATTGACTTATCGTGTAACAAATTAGTACATTCTTCAGATATCTCCTTAGGTGTATCGTATATTTTTTATAAGTCGTTATTTAGCAGTAAATACCTAAACCATGATATATATAACAAAATATTTTTTCCAGCTTCTCCTCCAGTGACTCGCTTTAAAAAATTGTATAATTGAAAGGTGTTCTTTCAAATTAAGATACTATGTTACATAAAACAAATTAATCTCTATAACTGACCGTTTCGAATGGCATCATAAAAATCCAGAATGATTTTTTTCCACATTTGGTCGCTTCGATTCCCATATGAGACAAGTAATTTTTTAAAAGTCCTTGAAGGCAATATTACTTTGAAGCAAGATATCCTAATCTAGAATATATAGAGTACTTTTTCTACTCCTATATTTTGATCTGTCAATAAAGGCGCTCTTTTTAGTGTTCTGAATCAAAATTCTATTATCTATTATACACAGAACTATACGTACGCATTGTACGTTTATTTTATGATCAAAAAAAGAACGTCGTATTTTTGTTAATTTCAATTACAAATAAACGCTACTCAAACGTTATAATTTAACCTTTTAATTTAATATGATCAATTTGACCCACCAGGAGGTACCTCCTGGTGGGTTAAATTGGTCTAAAGGTCTTGCAACCAGGCCATAAATCTTTATAAAAAAAATATTTGTTAAAATATAAGCGGTATTTGGCCACTTCTATTTTATCTCTTTGGTTTTTTGTTTTGTATCGTTTGTTTGGCTTTCATCTAAAATATATGAAGAGGTTGTCTTAGAATAATAACGCATAGAAACCTAGTCCGCACACGCTAAGTGAGGCAAATTGAAGCGCGCCCAATGGGCCTAGACGAGCGGGCGGGCCGTCAGTGCTCAAGGTCAACTTGCACCGCGAACAGATCAAGAGTTTTAGCTAAAAATGACGAATTGTGCGGTAAATGAGTGTAAAAATACGTCAGACAAACATAA